GTTGGAAACTAGGCATGTGAGGTTTATATATCTATGGAATGATGTCCAGGATGAGAGAAAGAACTCTTGTCTGTTGGAGGCAAGGGTGAATGTTGCAATTGGCCACCTTGATTAGCATTGAATAGCCTTGCAGCTTCAAAGCCTGGCTGGTTGCTGCCTGGGGAGATTTATTTATTTACTTACAACATTTATATGCCGCCCTTCTCACGCCGAAGGGGACTCAGAGTGGCTTACAAGTCATATACTACATTATTAGCATAGTACTAATACATCATTCATAATAATATTATACAATACTAATCCTTTGTTGGGAGGTGTTAGCTGGCCCTGATTGATTCTTGTCTGGAATTTCCCTGCTTTCTGAGTGTAGCTCTTTATTTACTGTCCTCATTTTAGAGTTTTTTAAAATATGGGTAGCCAGATTTCGTTCATTTTCATGGTTTCCTCCTTTCTGTTGAAATTGTTCCCCATGCTTGTGAATTTCAATGTCAACTCTGTGTAGTCTGATATGGTAGGTGTTAAGAGTGGTCCAGTATTTTTGTGTTCTCAAATAATATGCAACCAGCCAGGCTTTGTGAAGCTGCAAGACCATTAAATTCACAGCAACCCATTCCAAGATACATTCTAGGAGTAAAATTAAAAGATGCATATTTTTAAATGAAGCCCTGTTCCAAGTGCCATGGATCAAGGAAGCTCAAAGCAGATAATTGTGAGATTTTTCTGCCTTGATTTCTGGGTTATATAGCTGTGTGGAAGGGCCCTAAGAAAAATTGATCCCATTTGCAACAGTTTGTTTATTTATTTATGGCACTGATATGCCACCCTTCTCACCCCGAAGGGGACTCAGCAGCTTACAAGTTATATGTACATACAAAATATTGTTAGCATAGCACATAGCAATAGATATTATTATATTGTACTATACCACTATGCTGTAATATTATTAGTAATATTACATGCAATATGAAATATAAATTATATTATATTATTAGCATTACATTGTATTACATCTTATCTTATATATATATAAAAAATGTTCTGTGCATGAGTACCTTAAGAACAAAAGAACCGATGAACGAAATCACACAAAATTTGGCAACAAAACGTCTCACAACACAAGGAGTGACCATCACTCAAAAAATTATGATTTTGTCATTTGGGAGTTGTAGTTTCTGGGATTTATAGTTCACCTACAATCAAAGAGCATTCTGAACTCCATCAACGATGGAATTGAACCAAACTTGGCACACAGAACTCCCATGACCAACAGAAAATACTGGAAGTGTTTGGTGGGCATTGACCTTGAGTTTTGGAGTTGTAGTTCACCTACATCCAGAGAGCACTGTGGACTCAAACAATGATGGATCTGGACCAAACTTGGCACAAGCACTCAATACGCCCAAATATGAACACAGATGGAGTTTGGGGGAAATAGACCTTGACATTTGGGAGTTGTAGTCACTGGGATTCACAGTTCACCTACAATCAAAGAGCATTCTGAACCCCACGAACGACAGAATCGGGCAAACTTCCCATACAGAATCCCCATGATCAACAGAAAATACTTAAGGCCATCCAATCCAACTCCCTTCATCAGAGCAAGAAAATGTAATCAAAGTCCTCCTGACAAAGAGCCATCCAGCCATAGAGAAAGAGAGAGGTATAGTATCATAGATTTGAAAGGGACCCTAAAGAAGGACAATGTATGTTGCATGTTCCAGAGTAGGCAAACCAGACACTCTCCACACAACACTGTCAAAGAAACACAAGAAATACTGTTTACCCACAAGCATAAAGAAATTACATATATTAGAAACCAACATTTCTCATTACTTTATTTTCCAGATCAACAGACTGGGCCACAGAAACACGTGGCAGGGGACAGCTAGTATATATATATATATATATATATATGAGAGAGATAATATATATATATATATATATATATATATATATATATATATCCTGTTAAATAATTTTACTGGATTGTGGGTTTTTCAGGTTGTATGGCCATGTTTTCCAACAAACTTCACAACTTACAACAGACCAAGAGCAGAGAGGAAACAAACCAGGACATCTAATCACTCTCAACAAAAGATTGCTCCAGGCACTGCCAGGCAATCAAAATGCTAATCAAGGTGATCAGTTGAAACATTCCACCTAGCTCCAGCAGACAAGAGTCCTTTGTCTCACCCTGGTCATTCCAGATATATAAACCCCTTTTCCTAGTTCCAACAGACCTCACTATCTTTGAGGATGCTTGCCATAGATGCAGGCAAAACGTCAGGAGAGATTCCCTTTAGACCAGTGTTTCTCAACCTGGGGGTCATGAGGGGGTGTCAGAGGAGTTGCCAAAGACCATCAGAAAACATAGTATTTTCTGGTGGTCACTGGGATTCTGCGTGGGAAGTTTGACCCAATTCTATTGTTGGTCGAGTTCAGAATGCTCTTTGATTGTAGGTGAACTATAAATCCCAGTAACTACAACTCCCAAATGTCAAGGTCTATTTTCCCCAAGACTCTACCAGTATTCACATTTGGGCATACTGAGTATTCGTGCCAAGTTTGGTCCAGATCCATCATTGCATGGATCCACAGTGCTCCTCTGGATATAGGTGAACTACAACTCCCAAACTCAAGGTCAATGCCCACAAAACCCTTCCAGTGTTTTCTGTTGGTCATGGGAGTTCTTTGTGCCAAGTTCGGTTTAAATCCATCGCTGGTGGAGTTCAGAATGCTTTTTGATTATAGGTGAACTATAAATCCCAGCAACTACAACTCCCAAATTGCAAAATCAATCCTCCCTCCTCCCAACCCCACTAGCATTCACATTTGGGCATATTGGGTATTTGTGCTCATTTAGTCCAGTGAATGAAAATATATCCTGCATATCAGATATTTAAATTACTATTTATAACAGTACTAAAACGACAGGTACCAAATAGCAACGGAAACATTATGGTTGGGAGTCACCACAACATATGGAAACTGCATTAAGGGGTCACGGCATTAGCAAGGTTGAGAACCACTGCTCTAGACTATGGCCATATAGCCCGAAAAAAACTTACAACCCAACTGTATTGTTGCTGAGGAGAGGGCCTCCCAAAAGTTTGCCCTCCTTGCATGGCGACAGGGGGCTAAATACATGTGAGTTATCTCGGAATAAAGGTCTACCACAGCTAAGTTACCAGGCTTTTCTATCAACCTCAGTGTTGATATTCTACTTTGAAATCAGCTCTTTTGTTGACAAAGTGGGTGGCTCTTAAAAGAGCCTTTGGGTCTATTTAGTTTCCAAGTGGTAGAAGCCAACTCAAACCAAGGCAGTTGGTAGTTCTACTTGGAGCTGGTGTACTTGGTGACGGCCTTGGTGCCCTCAGAGACAGCGTGCTTGGCCAGCTCTCCAGGAAGCAGGAGACGGACGGCGGTCTGGATCTCGCGAGAAGTGATGGTGGAGCGCTTGTTGTAGTGCGCCAGGCGGGAGGCCTCAGCAGCAATGCGCTCAAAGATGTCATTCACGAAGGAGTTCATGATGCTCATGGCCTTGGAGGAAATGCCGGTGTCTGGGTGGACCTGCTTCAGCACCTTGTAGACATAGATGGAGTAGCTCTCCTTCCTGCTCTTCTTGCGCTTCTTGTCTCCCTTCTTCTGGGTCTTTGTGATCGCCTTCTTGGATCCCTTCTTGGGAGCAGGCGCGGATTTCGCTGGTTCAGGCATCTTCGCTCTACTCAACACCCTTCTCTTTCTGACTCACAGAAAACACTGCGACTGCTGCTGAGGCGCGCCCGTATTTATAGCCCGCTTATGGAAATGAAGGCTTCGAACGCCCACGTTTTGATTGGCCGGCGGCGCCATTGCGTCACCGCTCTCGGCTCGCGCTATGCAAATCACTAGGATTCAAACTTTGGAATGCGATTGGTCCTTCGCTCAAGCACGAATCCTTGCTCCTATTGGCTGATCGTGTTTCGCTCTTCAAATTAACCTTTGCATTGCCAAGGCAAATAAAATGTAGCCTTCCTTTAAAAAGTTAACACTCCCTTTGCAATTTTTCTCAGTTCTTGACACAAAGACCATATTAATAATCGTTTAAGGAGGGAGATAATTAATTAAGTTCAAGAATTATATAGCAATCATGGGAAAATAAATGCTCTAGACTTCAAATCCCAGCAGCCTCAATCCATTTGGTTAAAGCCCAAGGATTTTGGGACCTAAAGTCCAAAACAAGGGGAGAACCAGAGTTTAGGAACCACTGCTTAAAGCGATTTAGGATTATTTACTATACTATACTATTATTTACTATACTATACTATACCTTATACTATACCAAAATTGCCTGAGTTTCTGAATGGACTTTTCTTGCCATTCTTTGTAACATCCGGGGACTTTGAGGCTGTCTTCCGGGTTTGTCTCTCTCTCTCTCTCCCCCTCCCCTTTTTGTGATGCAAAGATATACCAAGGCTAGGAGATACCAAGACACATATCATTGTGTTTATTCTCCGAGTACTTTGTAATATCATATTATAATATTATATCATATTATAATATTATAACATTTCAGGGGCTGCTGTGCTTTGCATTGATTTTCAGCAACCTCAGTTAGAATATCATTAAGGTGGGAAAGGTGGAGGGGATTTATTATTCTTTTCTATTCCTGCTGTTGTTGGACTTCCATCTTGGATAGGTGAGTGTCTCTCCCTTTTTATAAAACGTAAACAATTGCTTTGGTTTTCCAAGGGTGCATCTACACCAGCCATGAGCAAACTTGGGCCCTCCAGGTGTTTTGGACTCCAACTCCCACCATTCCTAACAGCCTCAGGCCCCTTCCTTTCCCTCCTCAGCTGCTTAAGGGTTCAAAGTTTCAAAATTAATCATTTATACTTGGGGAGGAGAAAGAAGATGAATTTCTTACCCTTTTTAGGATGCTCTAGATCTGAAAGCTGGTTTTGTAGAAGGCAAAGAGTCCCGAAAGGCACTGGATCCTGTCTGATTTTGGAAACTAAGCAGGACCAGTCATGGTTGGTACTTGGATGGGAGATTGCCAATGCTTAATAACTTAAGGCTGCATTTCAGAGTCAACAGGCAATTTGAAGGCACAGAAACACAGGGGTGAAAGATTTTAAAAGTAGTCTCCCAAATCCATTCTGTGATTTAAGATTAGGAGATTAGGACAAGGAACAATGGCTTCAAACTACAAGAGAGGAGATTCCATCTGAACATGAGGAAGAACCTCCTGACTGTGAGAGCCGTTCAGCAGTGGAACTCTCTGCCCCGGAGTGTGGTGGAGGCTCCATCTTTGGAAGGTTTTAAACAGAGGCTGGATGGCCATCTGTCAGGCGTGATTTGAATGCAATATTCCTGCTTCTTGGCAGAATGGGGTTGGACTGGATGGCCCATGAGGTCTCTTCCAACTCTTTGATTCTATGATTAAGTCCTACTGTTATGCTCAACGAGATTTGATCAGTATAGTAAAGGTAAAGGTTTCCTCTTGACATTAAGTCTAGTCATGTCCAACTCTAGAAGGTGGTGCTCATCTCCATTTCTAAAGTGAAGAGCCGGTGTTGTCCATAAGACGCCTCCAAAGTCATGTGGCCGGCATGACTGCGTGTAGTGGCATTACCTTTCCACAGAAACGGTACCTATTGATGTACTCACATTTGTATATTTTTGAACTGTTAGGTTGGCAGAAGCTTGGGCTAACAGTGGGAGCTCACGCCGCTCCCCAGATTCGAACTGCTAACCTTTCAATCAGTAAGTTCAGCAGCTCAGCAATTTAACCCACTGCGCCACCTTAAATATTAAAATGCCAGTTTGACTTGATTGTATATTAAAAGATTTCACTCTCATGGTTTCTCTAGAGAGTAAAATGACAAGCAAGCAAAATGACAGCCAGTTTAACATGATTTATAGCGATTCAGATAAATAAATAAAAATGTAGAATTATAGCCTGCCATTCTCTGTGTAGCTCCATGTTCACAGATTACGCATTATTAACATCATCGGTTCCAAACACATTGTAACTTTAAATTGTTACAAATTAGATCATAGTGCCGTGATTACAAAAAGTGACAGGAGTTGGAATGGGTATTAATTTAGTATTGCTTGCTTCTTGCAGTCACCTTTAAGAGAGAAAAATCTTGATATTACAACAACAACAACAATGTGCTACATTAGCCTCCATGATTCTGAGATTCTTGGATGGAATCTAAATCATTGATGGTCCAGCCAACAATATCTGACAGCCCATGAAGAGATTATAACAATAGCATTATAGTAGGGGTTAGGGTTTTGGGTTTTTTTTGGTCGTGTCAGGAGCGACTTGAGAAACTGCAGTTCGCTTCTGGTGTGAGAGAATTGGCCGTCTGCAGGGATGTTGCCCAGGGGATGCCTGGATGAATTTATGTTTTTATCATCCTTGTGGGAGGCTTCTCTCATGTCCCCGCATGAAGAGCTGGAGCTGATAAAGGGAGCTCATCCGCCTCTCCCCGGATTCGAACCTGCGAGCTGTTGGTCTTCAGTCCTGCCGGCACAGGGGTTTAACCCACTGCACCACCGGGGCTCCAGGGGTTAGGTATGGAAATCCCAAAAGGGGGAAAGAACACTAACAAAATGTGTTTTATCCTTGAGAGAACACCTATCTGAGAACATCTATGTCTTCCAGGGTTGTTCTATGGTCAAGCTTCTCTAGGTGATCATAGAATTGCATGGGAGGACATGGAGAGCCCTAGAGAGGTGTTTTCTCTAGATATATCTAGATCTTCCAACAGAAGGTGACCATAAGTTGCTCAGGAGGACCTATATCAGTGGTTTTCAACCTGTGGGTCGCCAGATGTTCTGGCCTTCAACTCCCAGAAATCCTAACGGCTGGTGAACTGGCTGGGATTTCTGTGAGTTTTAGGCCAAAACACCTGGGGACCCACAGGTTGAAAACCACTGACCTAGAGAATCCTTGAAAGAACATAGTAACCCAATTTGTGATTAATGAAATCTAGGAATGTTAAACCCACAAATGCTGAGGGTTTCATAGAATACTAGAGTTGGAAGAGACCCTAAGGGTCATCCAATCCCATGCCATGCCATGCAGGAACATACAATCAAAGGATGGCCACCCAGCTTCATGCATGTTCCAAGAAATTAAACTCAAACGAGGCCTCTTGTTTTCTGCTCCTGTCTCCTTTGCAGCACTTCTTTGTCATGATGCCAAGGCGCGGTCGGGGGAAACGAGGCCAGCTTGCCACTTCCCATAGGAGATCCACAGCCTTGCCCATGCGAGCACCCCGTTTCCCAAGCCCTGTAGAAGATGTAGCTGTTTCCCATCAAGCCGTGGCTGTAGTTGCCACTGGCATGACTTCATTACATGCAAAAGAGGAAGGATGTCTGTCAACAGTCCATGACTTCTTTTCTTACCTTAAGGAGAGAGAAGAGGAGGAGGAGGACACCATGGAGCTAGGAGCCTACTCACCGAGTCCGACGATGTCTACCCATCTTGTGGTGAAACAGCCCTGTCGTCCAGATGTATGTCAAGTGCTCTCCTACTTGAAGAAGGAAGATGAAGAGGAAGATGTTGCTGAGGTAGGCTCGATGTCACCACCAAATAGTCTCCCACCTTCAGCTACCTCTCCTCCACATTCTTCTTATACCTCCCCAACCACTTTGGGCACAGCTGTTTACCCAACTGGCATGGAGATGCTGCATTACTTCACTCCCATGGCTCACACCTTGTTTTCTTCTTCCCATCCAAAGCGGGGACGTGATGTGATGGTGGAGTCCATCCCGCCCCCGGTGCCCAAGAAGACCACCTCGGCAGTCTGGGATTACTTCACGCTTGACCCTCGGGAGTCATGTGTGGCCGTCTGCAGCATGTGTCAGAGGCGGGTGAGACGGGGCAAGGACGGTGGCACTCGCCCGGGCACGACGGCCCTCCACAAGCACTTGAAGGTGCACCATGGTCTCCATTTGCCCGGGGTTGCTGTGGTGCCCCCCTCACCTCTGATGCCCCTGAAGGAGAGGCCGCATACGTCTACCACACTTGCCCCCGAACCAGTCTCTCCGGCCTTCCAATTGGTCCGTCAGGAGCAGAGTCAGCCCTACTATCCTCCCACACACCCTATGGCCCTCCAGTTGGCTTCAGATACCGCTTGGATGCTGGCGGTGGATATGCATCCTCTCTCCTATGTAGACAACGAAGGATTTCGGCGGCTGATGGCCACTGCCCAGCCTCGTTGGAAGATCCCGAGCCGGACCTTCTTTGCCACCAAAGCTGTTCCCGAGTTGTCTAAGGTGGTGTCCAGAGCCGTACGCCAAGTTGTGGCCGGAAGCGTGGGCCGCACGGTGCACGTCACCGTCGACATCTGGGACAGTGAGCAGGCAGCCACTTACATGTCTGTAACAGGGCACTGGGTGGCTGAATTTGCTGGCATCCTCTCCCGGAAGCATGCTACCCTGTCTGTCTGCGCCTTTGAGGTGCCTTGCTCTCCAGATGATATTTGCCACAAGTTGCAGGAAGTCCTGCAGGACTGGCTGTATGACCTGAAGACCGGGGGAGTGGTCTCGGACAGTGGGAACAACGTGGCGAAAGCTTTGCGGGAACTGCGGCTCAAGCATGTCCCTTGCTTGGCCTGCTGCTTGAGGCTAGTGGCCAAAGCCTTCTTGGCCACCGATGCTCAGGTTGGACGGCTCCTGAATACATGCAGGAGGATCTGCAGTCACTATAGTCACTCTTCCACCGTCCGCCGTCGCCTTCTGGAAGTGCAAGCCAACTTGGGCCTGCACCAGCCCATGAGGCAAGAAGCCAGGGCGAGGTCCATCTCCACCTTACAGATGCTGGAGCACCTCTACTGGCAACGGCAAGCCATCACCGCCATGTTGGATGAGGATGACGAAGATGACGACAACAATGGCTCCCATCTGTGCTTGACTCCCGCAGACTGGAAGCTGGTGAAGTGCTTGATGGAGATCCTCAAACCCTTTGAAGATGCCACCATGCTGGTGACTCGCCCCGATGCCACTCTCTGCCAAGCACTTCCTCTCCTTTGGTTCTTGGAGGAACAACTCCGTTCACTGAGGACCAGGTACTACCAGGAGAACAACAACATGGTTGCCCATCTCACCACCCAGGCCCTGGATTGTTTGGAGGCTGACATCCAACTGAGAGGGGTGAAGAACAGCATGATCTTTCGGGTGGCAGCTTTCCTGGATCCTCGCTTCCGAGACATCACCACCATGAAGCTGGGTGGCACAGATATGAGTGAGGCAGCCATGCTGAAGGAGCACATCCTTGACCTGGCAACCAGAGCCTACGTGCCCCAGGGACCAGACGTTGAGTTTTCGTCCATCAACGATTCCTCTCCACAACCTTCCAGTAGTTCTTCCAACCCACCTGGTTCGGCCGCATGGCAGTTCACCATGAAACGTTGGAGGACCATTACCAAAAGTGACCCAGCCATGGGTCTGGCTGCTGAAGGGGGAGCTGCCGTAGCCCTCCGGGAACTGGAGGAATACCTCCATGACAACGTGGACCACGTGGGAGAAAATGCCGACCCCATGTTGTATTGGCAAGGAAAGATGGGGCTTTGGCCAACTCTCTTCAAGGTCGCCGTGTTTTATTTCGGCTGTCCACCGACTTCAGCGTCCTCTGACAACCTCTCCTTTGTTGCCACTTCCTTGGCAGCAGGAGACCATCCCATGTCCCTCTCTCCGGCCAACCTGAAGATGTTTGCCTTCATCCGGAAGAATCGGCACCTCATCCCTCAGGACTGGAGGCTTTCTCTTGGAGACCTTTCTTCCTCCCAGAACGCGATAGACCCCAGGGAGGACTTGGATACAGAAGAGGAAGATGATCTACTGAGAGCAGATGAGGAACCAGAAGAGGACTGAGAAACTGAATACCCTGAAAGTTAGAGCACATGTGTCAAACCCAAGTCTCATGGGTTGACTCCAGCCCACCATGCCATTTTATGTGGCTCTCCAGATGCTGGACTATAACAGCTGTATTCTTCGTCATTTAGCATCATGACTACTGCTGATGGGAGTTGTGATGCAGTAATAGCACCTGGAAGGCTGTAGTTTGTTCTGTTTAGTCAGGGTTTGGATTTAGACAAAAGGTTTGTGGATATGATACCTGATTTTAAAATGGCTTTTAACCTTTTTCCAACCTCAGAACCTCAGTGCAGTTCGGCTGTAATTCTCATGATCCACATGCTGTACAATCAAAAGGATGCAAGTTATCATTCAGTAATATCTGAGGATCCAAACTGGGCAAAAACTATTTATTTTTATTTATTTATCATGTCAGAAGCAAGTTGAGAGTACAGTTAAAATGCATTTAAAAACACAAACAAAGTTTTAAAACTTGACATTGTGCTAAATGTCCTTTGACCAGAAGCTGGCCACTTGGAGTGCCTCTGGTGTTGCTGTGAGAAGGCCCTCCATTGTGTATGTGGTGGGGCTCAGGTTGCATTGTAGTAGGTGGTCTGTGGTTTGCTCTTCTTCGCACTTGCATGTCTTGGGCTCCACTTTGTAGCCCCATTTCTTAAGGTTAGATCTACATCTTCTGTGTGCTCAGGAGGGAGTTTCTCATCTGGTCTCAGCCACTGATTGAGGTGGTGGGTTTTAGCCTGCCACTTTTGGACTCTCGCTTGCTGAGGTGTTCCTGCGAGTATTTCTGTAGATCTTAGGAAGCTGTTTCTTGATTTAAGGTATTGGCATGCTGGTTGATATCCAAACAGAGGATGGACCGGAGATGTCAGTGCCTTGGTCTTTTCATTGCTGGCTGCTATTTCCTGGTGGATGTCAGGTGGTGCAATACCAGTTAAGCAATGTAATTTCTCCAGTGGTGTGGGGTGTAGACACCCTGTGATAATGTGGCATGTCTCATTATGAGCCACATCCATTGTTTTAACGTGGTGAGATGTATTCCACACTGGGCATGCATATTCAGCAGCAGAGTAGGAAAGTGCATTGTTGAATGAATGCATTTTGACACCACTTTTACATCCATGGCTCAATGCTAAGATATCACGAGAGCTGTCATTTTGCAAGCCTTATAACACATCCATGCATCCCTTGGGCAACGTCTTCGTAGACAGCTGATTCTCTCACACCTGAAGCGACTTGCAGCATGCAACCAAACAAACAAACAAGCAAATGCGTAAAAACTAAGACCACAGTGTAAACAAAATATAGTTGTCCCCCTGTATCCATGGATTCCGTCACCCTTTGAAGGAAACCATAAGGTTGGTGTGATCCTTGATGAAAATGAGTTCAACACTCCTGGATTAGTGGATGGCAGACATGTTTGTGTTTGCTTCAGGGTAAGAAAGAGAGGGGGATTGTTGTGATTTTTCCTGTGTTGGGTTAGAATTTGCCTCTCCATTTCCACAAGCAGATTCTTGGAACCCAGAAGTTGAAAAGCATTTTCCAGATTTGTTATTGATGGGATGGCAAAATTCTTACCACTTTTTACCATTTTTACAGCATACATTTATTACCATTTTTTTACAACATAGGGTTGCTGTGAGTTTTCCGGGCTGTATGGCCTGAATAAAATCTGGCTACCAGTACTTAAAAAAACCTCTAAACTCAGGACAGTAAATAAAGAACAACACTCAGAAGAAGGGAATTCCTGACATGAAACAATCAGGGCCAGCTCACACATCCTAGGCAGGAAGCAGCCAGACTTGGAAGCTGCAAGGTCATCCAATGCAAAATATCCAAAATCCCTGCTCTCCAGGTGTTTTGTTGGACTGCAACTCTCACCATTCCTAACAGGGTTGCTGTTAGGTTGAGTTTTCCGAGCTGTATGGCCATATTGCAGAAGCATTCTCTCCTGACGTTTCACCCACATCTATAGCAGGCATCCCCAGAGGTTGTGAGGTCTAGGCAAGTGGGGTTCATATATCTGTGGAATGCCCAAATAAACAAAATCTCGCTACCAGTATTATAAAAAAAATCCTCTTAAAATCAGTACAGTAAACAAAGAGGAACACTCAAATGACAGGGGAATTCCTGACAAGAAACAATCAAGGCCAGCTATCACATCCTAGGCAGGAAGCAGCCAGGCTTGGAAGCTGCAAGGCCATTATATGCTAATCAAGGTGGCAAATTGCAACATTCTCACTTGCCTCAAACAGACAAGAGTTCTTTCTCCCACCCTGGTCATTATTCCACAGATATATAAACCTAACTTGCCTAGTTTAGCACTTGCCAACTACTGTTTTGTATGTAGCTGAAAGGCTGACCAAAGACATTTTGCTGCCTGAGGCCAAGAAGCCCAATGTGCAAATGAAGCCCAAAGTATACACACAATGCCTATTATTCATAACAGAAACATTCTTGCCGTTATTATTATTAATAATAATAATAATAATAATACTATATCTACAATGGTGCTAACATAAAGAAATACGCATCTGACGTTAACTAGTATTTCTCATTTCCAGGACTTTTAGCCTGATAGAACTTTTCCTATAATGTGTATATATTCTGGCTGCTGCTCTGAGCCATTAAGGCAGTATGACCTCAAAGTAATGTATATGTACAATAAGTGACAATTAAACATCCCTAAGAACAAACACTTGTGTGCTGCCTTTGTCTTTATGCTAGGGTTCCAGGAAGAACTTTACCAGGCCTATGCTAAGTTGGGTCCTGCAGGTGTTTTGGACTTCAACTCCCAGCATTCCTAACAGCCTCAGGCCCTTTCCTTTCCCCCCACGCTTAAGCGGCTGAGGGGAAGGAAGGGGCCTGAGGCTGTTAGGAATGCTGGGAGTTGAAGTCCAAAACACTGGAGGCCTACAAGTGCCCATTCCTGATCTACACTATAGAAAATGCCACTTGAACTGCCTTGGCTCAGTGCTATGGAATCCTGGGAGTTGTAGTTCTACAAGGTCTGAAGCCTCCTCTGCCAAAAAGTGCCTCAGCCTCACTAAACTACAAGTTCCAGGATTCTACAGCATTTATTTATTTATTTATTTATTTATTTATTTATTTATGACATTTATATGCTGCCCTTCTCACCCCGAAGGAGACTCAGAACGGCTTACAAGATATATATACATACAATATATTATATTAATAGCATAGTAAATTAATAGTATATATACAATATATTGTATACTATACCATTATTAGCATTATATGAACACAACTGATGATGGAACTGATGAAGACTGAAAGACAAAACCAAGGTTACAACAACATCTGTTATAGAACTCCAGTATGCTGATGACAATGGTCGTCTGTGCGCATTCAGAAGAAGATCTACAAGCCACTCTAAACACCTTTGCAGAAGTATACGAGAAGCTCGGCCTGTCATTGAACATCGAGAAAACCAAAGTGCTCTTCCAGCAGTCACCAGCCAATCCCTCTCCAATGCCAGAAATACAGCTTAATGGTGTAACATTAGAAAATGTTGATCATTTCTGCTACCTTGGCAGCCACCTCTCCACAAAAGTCAACATTGACACTGAAATACAACACCGCCTGAGCTCTGCGAGTGCAGCATTTTTCTGAATGAAGCAGAGAGTGTTTGAGGACCGGGACATCTGTAGTTAAAACACAATTGGCCTTGACAAAATTACCATCTGCCAGCTGCAGAAGGCCACCTTACTGGGATCTGCACACATTATTCGCCGATACATCACACAGTCCTAGACACTTGGGAAGCGTCCGACAACAATACAACAGCCAGCAGAGTGTCTGCTGTGGACTCATCTTGTTGTGTTTCAAATAATAATAATAATAATAATAACTTTATTTATATTCTGATCTATCTCCCTAAAGGGACTCAGGGCGGATTCCAAGTATAAAAGGCAAACATTCAGTGCCCGAATACAACAATACATCCATACTAACAAAATTTATACAACCCAACATATAAATACAAACTATAACTTAACAAACTAAGTTATAATCACTGGGTTGTTGTAGGTTTTTTCGGGCTGTATGGCCATGGTCTAGAGGCATTCTCTCCTGACGTTTCGCCTGCATCTATGGCAAGCATCCTCAGAGGTAGTGAGGTCTGTTGGAACTAGGAAAAAGGGTTTATATATCTGTGGAATGACCAGGGTGGGACAAAGGACTCTTGTCTGCTGGAGCTAGGTGTGAATGTTTCAACTGACCACCTTGATTAGCATACAATGGGCTGACTGTGCCAAACTTTTGTTGAGAGGTGATTAGATGTCCTTGTTTGTTTCCTCAGACCTCACACCTCTGAGGATGCTTGCCATAGATGCAGGCGAAACGTCAGGAGAGAATGCCTCTAGACCATGGCCATATAGCCCGAAAAAAACTACTACAACCCAGTGATTCCAGCCATGAAAGCCTTTGACAACACAAAATTTATACAACCCAACATATAAATACAAATTATAACTTAACAAACTAAGTTATAATCATATTACACATAATATAAATATATAATTATAATATCATGTCATTATTCGTATTATATTGTATTACATTATAATATTATAAATAGTATATGTATATACAATATATTATATTATATTACTAGCATAGCACAGGAGACAAGGTGGAACTTGTTTAATAAGCATTGAGCCTAATTAGTTCAAATAGTGGAGCCCCGGCGGATGAGCTCCCTCTATCAGCTCCAGCTCCTCATGCGGGCACATGAGAGAAGCCTCCCACAAGGATGATAAAAACATCAAATCATCCGGGCGTCCCCTGGGCAATGTCCTTGCAGACGGCCTATTCTCTTACACCAGAAGCGACTTGCAGTTTCTCAAGACAAAAAAAAAAAGTTCAAAGAGTGGTGCTGTAATTGTCAGGCTTGAATATTTACAGTTTTCTATATAAAATGCCAGTTGAACTGCCTTGGCTCAGTGCTGGGAGTTGTAGTTTTACAAGGTCTGTAGCCTTCTCTGCCAAAAAGTGCCTCACTAAACTACAACTCCCAGGATCCCACTAAACTACAACTCCTAGGATCCCACAGCATTGAGCCTTATTGGTTCAAGTAGTGTCTCTCTAATTCTCAGGCTTGAATGTTTACATTTTCCTATAGATCTGGCTGGCATGCAGCAGTGTTATGACAACAATAGCCCTCTATCTCTCCAAGGAGCAGAGTGGCGCAGCGGAAGCGTGCTGGGCCCATAACCCAGAGGTCGATGGATCGAAACCATCCTCTGCTAAAATATTTTTTTCATGCCACCTCCCAAATATTTTTGCATCTCCTTCCTCCCCCTTTTCACAATTTCATTCCACCGACATAATTTTATTATGTGAGTCCATTATCCTTTTCTTAAATGCAGAAATGTGACAGAAATGATGGGTTTGGATTGCAACTTCCATCAGCCTCAACCAATAGGAGTGCAACTTCCATCCGCCTCAGCCAATAGGAGGGAAGCTAGCAGCTGCTGGCCACAATAATGCATTAGCTTCTCACCTTAACATTCTCCTATTTTATTATATTTAACGTTTCATATATAAAAAATTGTATTGGAATATCTCTTAAAATATATTTAGAATTAAATAATGGAGTGAAAGGATGTTTTTGAAAAATTAATTAACTAGCAGAGGATGGTTTCGATCCATCGACCTCTGGGTTATGGGCCCAGCACGCTTCCGCTGCGCCACTCTGCTGCACGGGGAAACGCTGCGGAATTACTAGGAGAAAAGGATGACGTCTGCTTTGTTTCCCTAATAGGAAGAAGCCGCCTCCAAAGCGCCCCCTCGTGGCCGGTTCGGAAAGCCTTTATTTCCATTAGGAACACTTGAGCCGCTTCAACTAAGCTTATTAGCAGAAAAATATATTCAAAAGCAATTCCAGTTGCACTCAACACAAATCATAGAATCAAAGAGTTGGAAGAGACCTCATGGGCCATCCAGTCCAACCCCCTGCCAAGAAGCAGGAATATTGCATTTAAATCACCCCCGACAGATGGCCATCCAGCCTCTGTTTAAAAGCTTAAAATCTTAACTGTAAAAGCATTGCATTCAAGACATTTTAGTCATTATATAGAGGGGGGAAATACAGATTACAATTTTTAAATTGTAATTTTAAATTATAATAATAAATTATAATTTTAAATTATAAAAATTATTTATGGTTGGGTTGTTGTAGGTTTTTTGGGCTATATGGTCATGTTCTAGAGGCATTCTCTCCTGATGTTTCGCCTGCATCTATGGCAAGCATCCTCAGAGGTAGTGAGGTTTGTTGGAAGTAGGAAAATGGGTTTATATATCTGTGGAATGACCAGGGTGGGGCAAGGAGCTCTTGTCTGCTGGAGCTAGGTGTGAATGTTGAACAAATCCAACAGTCATAGAATCACAGAATCATAGAATCAAAGAGTTGGAAGAGACCTCATGGGCCATCCAGTCCAACCCCCTGCAAGAAGCAGGAATATTGCATTCAAATCACCCCTGACAGATGGCCATCCAGCCTCTGTTTAAAAGCTTCCAAAGAAGGAGCCTCACCACACTCCGGGGCAGAGAGTTCCACTGCTGAACGGCTTTCACAGTCAGGAAGTTCTTCCTCGTGTTCAGATGGAATCTCCTTTCTTGTAGTTTGAAGCCATTGTTCCGTCCTAGTCTCCAAGGAAGCAGAAAACAAGCTTGCTCCCTCCTCCCTGTGGCTTCCTCTCACATATTTATACATGGCTATCATATCTCCTCTCAGCTTTCTCTTCTTCAGGCTAAACATGCCCAACTTTTGGCCTTCAACTCCCAGAAATCCGAGCAGCTTGTAAACTCTTTGGGACTTCTGGGAGTTCTGGTCTAAAAGCATCTGGTTTCGATTAATACTGGTAGCCAGATATATAAACCCATTTTCCTAGTTCCAACAGACCTAGTTCCGCAGGAGGAAGCCATGAAAATGAGCAAAATCTGGCTAGCAGTATTACAAAACTCTAAAATCATAACAGTAAATAAAGAACAACACTCAAAAAGCAAGTGAATTCCAGACAAGAATCAATCAAGGCCAGCTAACACTCCCCAACAAAGGATTCCCCCAGGCAGGAAGCAGCCAGACCTTGAAGCTGCAAGGCTATTCAATGCTAATCAGGTTGACCAATTGCATAATCCAATGGTGACAAAGAGTTCTTTCTCCCACCCAGGACATTATTCTAGATCAGTGGTTCTCAACCTTCCTAATGCCGTGACCCCTTAGTGCAGTTCTTCATGTTGTGGTGACCCCCAAGCATAACATTGTTTTCGTTACTACTTCATAACTGTCATTTTGCTCCCATTATGAATCATCACGTAAATACCTGATATGTAGGATGTATTTTCATTCACTGGACCAAATTTGACACAAATACCTAATATGCCCAAATTTGGATACTGGTGGGATCGGGGAAGGGAGAGTCATTTTGTCATTTGGGAGTTGTAGTTCACCTACATCCAGAGAGCACTGTGGACTCCAAAACAAAGATGGATCTGGACCAACTTGGCATGAATACTCAATATGCCCAAATGTGAATACTGCATGGGAAAAATAAACCTTGACCCAGGGGTCCCGACCCCCAGGTTGAGAAACACTGTTCTAGATATATAAACCTCACTTGCCTAGTTACCAACAGACCTCACACCTGAGGATGCCTCCCATAGATGTGGGCTAAATGTCAGGAGAGAATGCTTCTGAAACGTGGCCATACAGCCCAGAAAATTCTCAGCAACCCTGTTAGGAATGGTGGGGGATGCAGTCAAAAACACCTAGAGGGAAGGGATTTTGGATGCTTTGTTGCGGTTCTGTAACATTGCAAATGTTGTAGACATTAAATTACTTATTACTTGTGCTCAGGAGTGAGAACTGCTCCTTCTTTGAAAGTGTGGGTGGCCCTTAAAAGGGCCGTTGAGATTACTTTTTGAGAAAGGACTTTAAGGAAACTCCTTAGCCGCCGAAGCCGTAAAGAGTGCGGCCTTGACGTTTCAGGGCGTAGACCACGTCCATGGCGGTGACAGTCTTCCTCTTGGCGTGCTCGGTGTAAGTCACGGCATCGCGGATCACGTTCTCCAGGAAGACCTTGAGGACACCCCGGGTTTCCTCATAGATGAGCCCCGAAATGCGCTTCACTCCCCCGCGACGAGCCAGGCGGCGAATGGCGGGCTTGGTGATGCCCTGGATGTTGTCTCGAAGAACCTTCCTGTGCCTCTTGGCGCCTCCTTTCCCCAAGCCTTTGCCTCCTTTGCCGCGTCCAGACATTGTCGCTGCTACTGCTGTAAATGCTTCCCTCTCAAAACCCGGCCACACAATGTTGCCTCCGCCTTCGGTTCGGGCTTTATATAGAAAGGAATCCGACCAGAAGGAAAACTAGTCCCTCAGGGGCGCTCTAACGGCCCCTCGCGCTCTTGGCGGGCTTATTTAAAATCTAACCAATCAGCGAACGCCTGAGGTTTTCGAACCAACCAATCAGAAAATTCCTCACTTGTTGGACTCCAGCAGCTCTTTGGCGCCTCTCTCTTAGGCAAGGAAAGGTTTGTACTGTATGGGCGATCAAATTTAACTACATTGTTCAATACAGTAGCTGGGAATATAATAATAGAATAACTTTATTGTACATTGTACCACGAAATTAAATTCTTTCTCTAGCACACACCACAATACTTAAAAATCAGACAGCAGACTCTGGACCGTGCTCTGACCTACAAGAAGCACTGCCTGAACATCAAGCGAAAAGTGGGCGCTAGAAATAATATCATACGAAAGCTGACTGGCACAACCTGGGGATCACAACCAGATACAGTGAAGACATCTGCCCTTGCGCTATGCTACTCTGCTGCTGAGTATTGTGGTTGTTCCTTCACATTTCAATAAAAAAAAATCCAACATCTATCCTAGTGCAATACATTTAGTGGATAGGAAATTAACCACCAAGTGTACAATACTTTTACAGTAGTCTATAATGTCTAAGGATTTTTTTCCTCTTTGTCCTATAATTTTTTTGTTGGTTGCATAATTATTGTAGGCACACACATACATAGGCGTACCTCCATTAATGAATTAGATGCATTTATATGGCCATTACTGACTTCTTTAACAGTAAGGAAAACCAATTCCCAAGCCAATTTCCCAACAAAAAAGACAGGGTTGAGCGGGAGTCGCAAAAACAGCCTTCTACATCTATACTGTACAATAAATACAGTTTGACACCACTTTAACTATCATGGCTCAATGCTATGGTACTTTAATGGTGCTTTTCCTGCAGAGCAGAGGGTTGGATTAGATGGTCCATGTGGTCTCTTCCAACTCTATTCTTCTATGATTCTATGAATCATGGAAGTTGAAGTTTGCTGAGGCACCCGCACCCTTTGGGAAGAGAAGACCTTGCAAAACTACAGCTCTCATGATTCCATAGCATTGGGCTCTGAGAGTGTCAAACTGCATTCATGCAACAGTGTAGACAGGCTGGATCTCATCTATATAAATAAAAATGTAATGTTAGTTTGTGGGATTAACATAACTCAAAAACCACAAGGCGAATTGACACCACATTTGGACACAATGGAGCCCCCGGTGGAGCAGTGGGTTAAACTGCTGAGCTTGTTGACCGAAAGGTCGCAGGTTCGAATCTGGGGAGCAGCATGAGCTTCCGCTGTCAGCCCCAGCTTCTGCCAACCTAGCAGTTCGAAAACATGCAAATGTGAGTAGATCAATAGGTACTGCTCCAGCAGGAAGGTAACGATGCTCCATGCAGTCATGCCGGCCACATGACCTTGGAGGTGTCTACGGACAACGCCGGCTCTTCGGCTTGAAAATGGAGATGAGCCCCACATCCCAGAGTCGGACACAACTGGACTTAATGTCAGGGGAAAACCTTTACCTAAAGGTAAAGATGTGTCCAATACAATAGGTGTAGTGGACACAATACACTAATCAGGCCAATGAGTGACCATCACTCATAAAAACACTGAAAAACACAGCAGAAGAGACTTTAGAAGCCAAAAATTTTTAAAAAATATATTACAACACATGTGCAAAACCACATATATAGACATACATAGACATATAAAACACATATACACAGACTGGGACACAGCAACGCGTGGCAGGGGACGGCTAGTATATAATATAATATACAACAAGTAACACTGTTTGGAACTACCAATATATGGTCAGTGTAGGCCTTTGAGGCAGTTAAGCTGCACTATGTGGGTTTATATCGAGCCTATAATGCAATTCTAAACTTTTAATTTTCTACAGTTTATGTGAAACCAGAAGAATACATCCTCTATATACATTTTTTAAAATAAGATACAGCCGTGTATTACTGTTGGATGTTGTTGGTCATACTTCTGTTCAGGTTGGCTGCTCTACTAATGACAGCACCCCGTACTTCTATGAATTTATGTCTTATTAAAGAAACACCAAAGATTAAGGTAGATTCTCCCCTACAAACCATCAAGGGCGTTAAGATCTTCCGGAGAGGCCCTGCTCTCGGTCCCGCCACCATCGCAGTTGCATCTGGTGGAGACGAGAGACAGGGCCTTCTCTGTTGTGGCCCCTCCGACGATGGAATTCGCTCCCCCTCCCTCTGCCCCCTCCCTCCTGACCTTTAGGAAACAAGTGAGATCTTGGCTGTGGAACGAGGCATTTGCAGAGGGATGGCTGAGACCGGTAAATGACTCCCATACAAGTACTAACCAATGCCAACCCTGCTTAGGATTCATCACCAGTCTCCCATCCAAGTACTAACCAATGCCAACCCTGCTTAGCTTGTAACCCTGCTTAGGATTCATTGTTGGTCTCCCATCCAAGTACTAACCAATGCCAGCCCTGCTTAGGATTCATCGTTGGTCTCCCATCCAAGTACTAAACAATACCAACCCTGCTTAGGATTCATCGTCGGTCTCCCATCCAAGTACTAACCAATACCAACCCTGCTTAGGATTCATCGTTGGTCTCCCATCCAAGTACTAACCAATGCCAGCCCTGCTTAGGATTCATCGTTGGTCTCCCATCCAAGTACTAACCAATACCAACCCTGCTTAGGATTCATCGTCGGTCTCCCATCCAAGTACTAACCAATGCCAACCCTGCTTAGGATTCATCGTTGGTCTCCCATCCAAGTACTAACCAATACCAACCCTGCTTAGGATTCATCGTTGGTCTCCCATCCAAGTACTAACCAATGCCAGCCCTGCTTAGGATTCATCGTTGGTCTCCCATCCAAGTACTAACCAATACCAACCCTGCTTAGGATTCATCGTCGGTCTCCCATCCAAGTACTAACCAAGGCCTACCCTGCTTAGGATTCATCACCAGTCTCCCATCCAAGTACTAACCAATGCCAACTCTGCTTAGGATTCATCAGTCTCCCATCCAAGTAGTAACCAATGCCAACTCTGCTTAGCTTGCAACCCTGCTTAGGATTCATTGTTGGGTCTCCCATCCAAGTGCTAACCAATGCTTAGGATTCGTCGGTCTCCCATCCAAGTACTAACCAAGGCCAACCCTGCTTAGCAGGCAGAATATGATGCCTTTTAGAGTGTAGAGATCAGGCCTGAGACTATTGCCCTCCAGGTGTTTTGGACTCCAACTCCCAGCATTCCTAACAGCCTCAGGCCCATTCCTTTTCCCCCTCAAGCCGCTTAGGGGGAAAAGGAAAGGGCCTGAGGCTGTTAGGAATGCTGGGAGTTGAGAGTCCAAAACTGAGGGGGAAAGGGTCCAAGGCTGTTAGGAATGCTGGGAGTTGGAGTCAAAAACGACTAGAGGGCCCAAGTTTGCTCATGCCTGATCTGTGTTGTTCATTCGTTAAGTCGTCTCCGACTCTTCGTGACCTCATGGACCAGCCCACGCCAGAGCTCCCTGTCGGCCGTTACCACCCCCAGCTCCCTCAAGGTCAGTCCAGTCACTTCAAGGATGCCATCCATCCATCTTGCCCTTGGTCGGCCCCTCTTCCTTTTCTTTCTTATCATGATGTGGTCACCGATTAGTTTCCTGTCTCCTCATGATGTGGCCAAAGTACTTCAACTTTGTCTCTAATATTCTTCCCTCCAGTGAGCAGTCGGGCTTTATTTCCTGGAGGATGGACTGGTTGGATCTTCTCGCAGTCCAAGGCACTCTCAGAACTTTCCTCCAACACCACAGCTCAAAAGCATCAATCTTCCTTCGCTCAGCCTTCCCTAAGGTCCAGCTCTCGCATCCGTAGGTTACTACAGGGAATACCATTGCTTTGACTATGCGGATCTTTGTTGCCAGTGTGATGTCTCTACTCTTCACTATTTTATCGAGATTGGACATTGCTCTCCTCCCAAGAAGTAAGCGTCTTCTGATTTCCTGGCTACAGTCTGCATCTGCAGTAATCTTTGCACCTAGAAATACAAAGTCTGTCACGGCCTCCACGGTTTCTCCCTCTATTTTCCAGTTGTCAATCATTCTTGTTGCCATAATCTTGGTTTTTTTTTGACGTTTAGCTGCAACCCGGCTTTTGCGCTTTCTTCTTTCACCTTGATTAGAAGGCTCCTCAGCTCCTCCTCGCTTTCGGCCATCAGAGTGGTGTCATCTGCATATCTGAGGTTGTTAATGTTTCTTCCAGCAATTTTCACCCAGCTTTGCATTCATCAAGCCCCGCACATCGCATGATGTGTTCTGCATACAAGTTAAAAAGGTTGGGTGAGAGTATGCAGCCTTGCCGTACGCCTTTCCCAATCTTGAACCAGTCTGTTGTTCCGTGGTCAGTTCTGACTGTTGCTAATTGGTCCTTGTACAGATTCCTCAGGAGAGAGACAAGGTGGCTTGGGATGCCCATCCCACCAAGAACTTGCCACAATTTATTATGATCCACACAGTCAAAGGCTTTAGAATAGTCAATGAAGCAGAAGTAGATGTCTTTCTGAAACTCCCTGCCTTTCTCCATTATCCAGCGGATATTGGCAATCTGGTCTCTCGTTCCTCTGCCTTTTCTAAACCCAGCTTGAACGTCTGGCAACTCTCTCTCCATGTATTGCTGGAGTCTTCCTTGCAGGATCTTGAGCATTACCTTACTGGCATGAGAAATAAGGGCCACTGTAGGAAAGTATGAGCAGTCTTTAGCATTTCCCTTTTTTCGTATGGGTATATAAGTTATTTTTTCCCCCAGTCTGATGGCCATTCTTGTGTTTTCCGTATTTGCTGGCATATGGCATGCATCACGTTGACAGCATCCTCTTTCAAGATTTTAAATAGTTCAGCTGGGATCCCGTCATCTCCTGCTGCCTTGTTGTTAGCAATGCTTCTTAAGGCCCATTCAACCTCACTCCTCAGGATGTCTGGTTCTAATTCATTAAACACACTGTACAAACTATCCTCAATGTTATTATCCTTCCTGTAAAGATCTTCTGTATAGTTTCGCCACCTTCTCTTGATCTCTTCAGCTTCTGTTAGGTCCCTGCCATCTTTGTTTCTTATCATACCAATTTTTGCCTGAAATTTACCTCCAATGTTTCTAATTTTCTGGAAGAGGTCTCTTGTCCTTCCTATTCTGTTGTCTTCTTCCACTTCCATACATTGCTTATTTAAAAATAGTTCCTTATCTCTTCTGGCTAACCTCTGGAATTGCGCATTTAACTGGGCATATCTCCCCTTATCACTGTTTCCTTTTGCTTTCCTCCTTTCTTGGGCTACTTCCAGTGTCTTAGCAGACAACCATTTTGCCTTCTTGGTTTTCTTTTTCTTTGGGACGTACTTTGTTGCCGCCTCCTGAACAATGTCTCGGACTTCTGTCCATAGTTCTTCTGGGACTCTGTTTACTAAATCTAGTCCTTCAAATCTGTTCTTCACTTCCACTGTATATTCGCTAGGAATGTTAGTGAGATCATATCTAACTGGTCTGTGTATTTTCCCTGATCTCTTTAGTTTTATTCTAAATTGGGCAATAAGAAGTTCGTGATCTGAGCTACAGTCAGCCCCAGGTCTTGTTTTCACCGACTGGATGGATGTCCGCCACCTTTGGCCGCAAAGGATGTAGTCAATCTGATTTCGGTGTTGACCATCTGGTGAGGTCCATGTATAAAGCCGTCTTTTAGGTTGTTGGAAGAGAGTATTCGTTATACACAGCGAGTTTTCCTGGCAAAATTCTATCAGCCTGCGTCCCGCTTCATTTGGTTCTCCCAGACCATGCTTGCCTGTGATCCCTGTTGTCATTTGACTTCCCACCTTGGCATTCCAGTCTCCTGTAATGAAAATAATGTCTCTTTTGGTGTATTATCCAGTAGGTCCTGCAGATCCTCATAGAACTGATCTACTTCTGCTTCTTCAGCAGCTGTGGTTGGGGCGTATATTTGGATCACTGTAATGTTGAAAGGCTTTCCTTGCACTCAAATTGAGATCATTCTGTCATTTTTTGGGTTGTATCCAAGCACCGCTTTAGCGAATTTCTTATTAATTATGAAGGCTACTCCATTTCTTCGATGTTCCTCTTGTCCGCAGTAGTAGATCTGGTGGTCATCTGATGTGAAGTGGCCCATTCCAGTCCATTTCAGTTCGCTGACCCCCAGAATGTCTATCTTTAGTCTTGACATCTCGCCAATAACAACATCCAATTTGCCCTGGCTCATAGATCTTACATTCCAGGTTCCTATGGTGTGTTGATCTTTAGAGCATCGGATTCGTCGTTCACCTCCAGTACCGTCGGCCGCTAGCCTTCCTTTCGGCTTTGAGCTAGCTGCGTCATCACATCTGGGGCTAGTTGAACTTATCCTCTGCTCCTCCCCGGTAGCATTTTGGCCATCTTCCGACCTGGGAGTCCCATCTTCCAATGGCATACCGACATATCTCTGGTTGTACTGGTCCATTTAGTTTTCTTGGCAAGGATACTGGAGTGGTTTGCCATTGCCTTCCCCAGGGATCACGCTTGGTCTGACCTCTCTGCCACAACCGTCCCGTCTTGGGTGGCCTTCACGGTTTCGCTCATGACATCATTGAGGTGCTCAAGCTCCAGCACCCCGACAAGGCGGTGATCCTTTGCTGGAGTTGTACTTCTTGGTACAACTTCTATTTCTTAGAGTCAGTAGTTCTACAAGGTCTGTAGCCTTCTGTCAAAAATGCTAGTTCCTCACTAAACTACAACTCCCAGGATTCCACACCCAAAGGGTATAGATCTACTTGTTTACCTTGGATGGAATGTACTATTTCAGAAGTGGTCATGACCTAATAGAAAACATACTGGAATTGTGCCAAGAGATAAATGCAGGATACCATTTAATACAACCACAATTTCGCCTTTGGGTCTTCCCTAGTCATGTTTCAACTCTTTTCTTGAGGGAGTGGGTGGCTCTTAAAAGAGCCTTTGGGTCTGTTTAGGGACTCCACTGGGAGTTTACTTGGAGCTGGTGTACTTGGTGACGGCCTTGGTGCCCTCCGAGACGGCGTGCTTGGCCAGCTCCCCGGGAAGCAGGAGGCGGACGGCGGTCTGGATCTCGCGAGAAGTGATGGTGGAGCGCTTGTTGTAGTGCGCCAGGCGGGAGGCCTCACCAGCAATGCGCTCGAAGATGTCATTGACGAAGGAGTTCATGATGCTCATGGCCTTGGAGGAGATGCCGGTGTCTGGGTGGACCTGCTTCAGCACCTTGTAGACATAGATGGAGTAGCTCTCCTTCCTGCTCTTCTTGCGCTTCTTGTCTCCCTTCTTCTGGGTCTTTGTGATCGCCTTCTTGGATCCCTTCTTGGGAGCAGGCGCGGATTTCGCTGGCTCAGGCATCCTCGATTTACTCACCGCCAACCTCAACGACCAAAGAACAGAGTGCCAGAGAGAACGTCTCGCCCTGTATTTATACCTCGCGTATGCAAATGAAGGCATTCACTACCTCGTTTGCTATTGGATGGAAAACATTCCGCCTTCATCCTATTGGATGACAGGACAAGAAAACGCAGTATTACAATCCTTGCGCTCCTATTGGTTGACTCGCTACCCCTTTGTTTCCTATTGGTTAGTTTCACTCTCCTTGCCTAGATGAAGATTCGATTGGCGGGAAAGGTGTTTTCCCGCTTTTCTTAACGGTATCAAAGTTCACAGAGCTTTCTTTGTTGTTACCGCGGGTATGTGTCATACTTCTCCTATCATGAAATACGCCAGGAAGTGGTGAGTTCCTTAACTAATCCGAATAGAAATTTACAATCTCGTAAGGAATTGCTTTGGAGAGGGACACAACTCAAGGAAATTAAAAATATCTTTCTAAAGAAACATAATATAACTTTTCTAAACCAGGATGTTTAAAATGGCGCTGTATGGAAGCCGAAATAGCTCAGTTGGGAGAGCGTTAGACTGAAGATCTAAAGGTCCCTGGTTCGATCCCGGGTTTCGGCAGAAATATTTTGTTTTGTTTTAGCAGTGGAAATTAAGAGGCTAGCCCAGACATGGGCAAACTTGGGCCCTCCAGGTGTTTTGGACTTCAACTCCCACAATTCCTTTTTTAAAAAAATAATCTTTATCGCATAAATTTTCAGATAATTATACATTAAAAATTTGGGGTGGAATAGTAAGGGGGGGTGGGAGTGAGGGGAGGAAAAGAGAGAGAGAAAATAATAATAAAAAGAATTAATAAAAAATTAAAATAAACGGCAACAACAACAACAACCAAAAAAAAAAAAAAGAAAATACCAAATACTAACATTTTATTTTTAATGTATAATTATCTGAAAACTCCCACAATTCCTAACAGCCTCAGGCCCAGTGGAAAAGTGTTCTTATCATACATTAAGGGAACTGACTGCATAAGAAGCCGATTTATTTATTTATCGTGCCAAGAGCAGCCAAACAATTGTATTACATTTTTAACAAACAGGCAAACAAAACACAAAGTTTGCAAAATTGGTAGTTGATTAAATGTCCTTTGACCAGTATCTGGCCACTTGGAGTGCCTCTGGTGTCTGAGTGTTTGAGGACCGGGACATCCGTAGGGAGACCAAGGTGATTGTCAAAGCTATTGTCCTCCCAACCCTGCTATATGCCTGCGAACGTGGACAGTCTACAGATGTCACATGCAACTCCTGGAAAGATTTCATCAGTGTTGCCTCCGAAAAATCCTGAAAATCTCTTGGGAAGACAGGCAGGCACATGTCAGCATGCTGGAAGAAGCAAAGACCACCAGCATTGAAGCAATGATCCTCCTCCATCAACTCCGCTGGACCGGCCACGTTGTCCGGATGCCCGACCACCGTCTCCCAAAGCAGTTGCTCTACTCCGAACTCAAGAACGGAAAACAGAATGTTGGTGGGCAGGAAAAGAGATTTAAAGATGGGCTCAAAGCCAACCTTAAAAACTCTGGCATAGACACTGAGAACTGGGAAGCCCTGGCCCTTGAGCGCTCCAGCCGGAGGTCAGCTGTGACCAGCAGTGCTGCAGAATTTGAAGAGGCACGAATGGAGGGCGAAAGGTAGAAGTGCCAAGAGGAAGGTGTGCCAACCCTGACCGAGACCACCCCCCACCTGGAAACCAATGCCCTCACTGTGGGAGAAAATGCAGGTCTAGAATAGGGCTCCACAGCTACCTACGAACCCACCTCCAGGACACCGAACTTGGAGGACCACCATCTTCGGACTATGAGGAATCGCCTAAGTAAGTAAGTACTATAAGAAGGTCCTCCATTGTGCATATACCAGGGCTCAGGTTGCATTGCAGCAGGTGGTCTGTAGTTATAAGAAGCCAATAAAGAAACACAACCTACAAACTATCTACAGACCCATTAAGGAAATCCAACAAACGCTATGTTCAGCAAAAGACAAGAAAGAGGGATCCTCTGCAGGAGTCTACTATATACCATACAGCTGTGGACAAGTCTCCATAAGGGACACCAAACGCAGCAGCACCAACACGAATCAAGGAACATGAAAGGCTATGGCTGACTTCTCTGGTTGAAGTAGTCTGCATTGCCTTTCATGTTCCTTGATGAACCAGCCTGGACACAGCATATTATTTGAGAACACAGAAATGCTGGACCACTCTACAACCACCATGTCAGACTACACAGAGAAGCCAATGAAATACACAAACATGGGAAAATTTCAACAGAAAGGAGGAAACCATGAAAATGAACAAAATCTGGCTACCAGTATTTTAAAAAAACCTCTGAAATCATAACAGTAAATAAAGAACAACACTCAAAAAGCATCAACCCGGGCCAGCTAACACCTCCCAACAAAGGATTCCCCCAGAGGAAGCAACCAAGCCTTGTAGCTGCAAGGCAATTCAATGCTAATCAAGGTAGGCAATGGCAACATTCACACTTGCCTCAAACAGACAAGAGTTCTTTCTCTATTTATTTATTTATTTATTTACGACATTTATATGTTGCCTTTCTCACCCCGAAGGGGACTCAGAACAGCGCTCTCTCTCTCTCCCTCTCTCCCCTCTCTATATATACACACATTAAGGTAAAGGTAGTCCCCTGACATTAAGTCCAGTCACGTCTGACTCTGGGGTGTGGTGCTCATCTCCATTTCTAAGCCGAAGAGCCAGCGTTGTCCGTAGACACCTCCAAGGTCATGTGGCCGGCATGACTGCATGGAGCGCCGTTATATATATATACACACACATACACAAAATATATTATATTATTAGCATAGTGCAATATCAGTATTATATATTACTATATTGTACTATACCATTATATTGTAATACTAGCTGTCCCCTACCATGCATTGCTGTGACCCAGTATGTGTATGTGTTGTGTGTGTGTGTGTGTGTATATTTGTGTATATATGTGTGTTTGTGTCTATATATGTGGTTTTGTGCATGGTTGCAAAGTATTTTTTTTTTGCTTTAATTCTCTTCTGCTGTATTTTTCAGTGTTTTATGAATGATGATCATTCGTTGGCCTGATAGGTGTTATTGTGTCCAAATTTGGTGTCAATTTGACCAGTGGTTTTTGAACATTACCTTTTTATTTATATAGATTAGTGATATTACATGTAATATAAAATATATAATTTATCTATCTATCTATCTATCTATCTATCTATCTATCTATCTATCTCAGGGGACGCCTGGATGATTTTGATGTTTTTATCATCCTTGTGGGAGGCTTCTCTCATGTCCCCGCATGAGGAGCTGGAGCTGATAGAGGGAGCTCATCCGCCTCTCCCCAGATTCGAACCTGTGACCTGTCGGTCTTCAGTCCTGCCGGCACAGGGCTTTAACCCACTGCGCCACCATTGTATTACTAGTATTATATTGCATTACATTATAATATTACATGTATATACAATATATTATATTATACCATTAGTAAAGCACAGGAGACAAGATAGAACTGTCTTCTGCTTCCCTCTCTTCACTCTGGCCAGAGCAGCATTATACATTCCCGATATATAAACCCCATTTTCCTACTTTCCAACATAACCCACAACCTGAGGATGCCTGGCATAGATGTGGTGAAACGTCAGGAGAGAATGCTTCTGGAACATGGCTATACAGCCCAGAAAACTCACAACAACCCTGTTAGGAATAGTGAGAGTTGCAGTCCCAACAAAACACCTAGAGAGCGGGGATTTTGGATGTTTTGCATTGGATGGACTTGCAGCTTCCAAGTCTGGCCGCTTCCTGTCTAGGTGTTGCAGTACAAACACCTTGAGGGCAGGGATTTCGGATGCTTTGTTGCTGTTCTTTAATACTGCAAAGACTGGGTATTAATTGCTTATGCTCAGGAGTGAGAACTACTCTTTCCTTGAAAGTGTGGGTGGCCCTTAAAAGGGCCGTTGAGATTACTTTGAGAAAGCAGGGCTTCAAGGGAACTCCTTAGCCGCCGAAGCCGTAAAGAGTGCGGCCTTGACGTTTCAGGGCGTAAACCACGTCCATGGCGGTGACAGTCTTCCTCTTGGCGTGCTCGGTGTAAGTCACGGCATCGCGGATGACGTTCTCCAGGAAGACCTTCAGGACACCCCGGGTTTCCTCATAGATGAGCCCCGAAATGCGCTTCACTCCCCCGCGACGAGCCAGGCGGCGAATGGCGGGCTTGGTGATGCCCTGGATGTTGTCCCGAAGGACCTTCCTGTGCCTCTTGGCGCCTCCTTTCCCCAAGCCTTTGCCTCCTTTGCCGCGTCCAGACATCCTTCCTTCTCAAGCTCCAAAACCAACTAACGATTTGCAGCGACAGCGAACAGCCCTTATATAGAACTAAGTCGGACCAGAATGAAAACTACAGAACATCCCCCTCCCGCTTCCTCCCGCCTCCTTCTGCTTCACTGCGCCAAAAGAGTTTTATCCAATCCAAGGCGGAGGGCATATTTCAAATGAGCCAATCAGCGCTCTCGCTGGAACAAAGCCACTCTTGGGAGCCTTTCTTCCCTTCCTACTATAGGATTTTTCGCGCTTTTTTCCTATAGCAAATCTCCCCGGATTGAATCAGATTTCCGGCAAATCCTTATAGGATTATGTTTGCTTGTTTAGTTTTTTTGTGAGGGAAGAGCTTGGAGTTATTTATGGGCTGCCAGTGGTTTGAAAAAATAAAATTAAAGTCGTGGAAAGGAAGGGGATTCGGCACGTACACAATGATTTGTCCTATTGTTGACAATAGGATTATTCTAAAGGCTGCAGTCCAACACGTATACAGTGGATAGACATTTGATAAATGCTGGGAAATTAGAAATTGAATAAGAAGAGCATTGCCCATGATGCCAACAGCAGTAATACAATCGTATTTTCAGGCACTTGGAATAATTCTGTGTAAATGTACACTTAGTTAACTGAGAGCCCTTCCACACAGGCTTATAACATATATCAAGGCAGATAATCCACAATGTCTGCTTTGAAGTGGGTTACCTGAGTCCACACTGCCATATAATCCAGTTCAATGTGGATTTTATAAAACTGAGTTAATTATTTTAACAGTAATGTATGGTCAAAGGCTTTCATGGCCGGAATCACTGGGCTGCTGTGAGTTTTCCGGGCTGTGTGGCTATGTTCCAGAAGCATTCTCTCCTGATGTTTCGCTTGCATCTATGGCAGGCATCCTCAGAGGTTGTGAGGTCTCAGTAATCTTAACCTACACTCAGAATCATAGAGTTGGAAGAGGCCTCATCGGCCATCCAGTCCAACCCATTGCCAAGAAGCAGGAATATTGCATTCAAAGCACCCCTGACAGATGGCCATCCAGCCTCTGTTTAAAAGCCTCCAAAGAAGGAACCTCCACCACACTCCGGGGCAGAGAGTTCCACTGCTGAACAGCTCTCACAGTCAGGAAGTTCATAGAATCATAGAATCGTATAGTTGGAAGAGACCTCATGGGCCGTCCAGTCCAACCCCATTCTGCCAAGAAGCAGGAATATTGCATTCAAATCACCCCTGACAGATGGCCATCCAGCCTGTTTAAAAGCCTCCAAAGAAGGAGCCTCCACCACACTCCGGGGAACTCTCCGGGGCAGAGAGTTCCACTGCTGAACAGCTCCCACAGGAAGTTCTTCCTAATGTTCAGGTGGAATTTCCTTTCCTGTAGTTTGAGGCCATTGCTCCGCGTCCTAGTCTCCAGGACAGCAGAAAACAAGTTCGCTCTCTCCTCCCTATGACTTCCTCTCATATATTTATACATGGCCCTCGTCATGTCTCCTCTCAGTCTTCTCTTCTGCAGGCTAAACATGCCCAGCTCTTTAAGCCGCTCCTCATAGGGCTTGTTCTCCAGACTCTTGATCATTTTAGTCACCCTTCTCTGGACACATTCCAGCTTGTCAATATCTCTCTTCAATTGTGGTGCCCAGAATTGGACACAATATTCCAGGTGTGGTCTAACCAAGGCAGAACAGAGGGGTAGCATGACTTCTCTGGATCCTTCACTACTCAGTAATCTTGACCTCCGCTCCTTCACTATTTTCTTTAACATAAGGTATCAACGGAAAGGATGTGGATAAAGTTCAGGCTGGAAACATCCACTTCTCCTTCTAACTGGTTGAATTGAAGCATCTACTATCCATGTGTTTGGCTACAGGACCAGTGCCTCTAAATGCAAGACCATGCACTGAAGGGTGGTCTAGTCGTTTGTAGTCAGGGTGGTATTTGATCCGTGTTCACATACCTTAAGCTATGAAGCATGCTATGTATTGGGTTGCTGTGAGTTTCCCGGGCTGTATGGCCATGTTCCAGAAGCATTCTCTCCTGACGTTTCACCCAACATCTATGGCAGGCATCCTCAGAGGTTGTGAGGTCTGTTGGAAACTAGGCAAGTGGGGTTTATATATCTGTTCATGTCAAGAGCGACTTGAGAAACTGCAAGTTGCTTCTGGTGTGACCGTCTGCAAGGATGTTGCCCTGAGGACGCCCAGATGTTTTGATGTTTTACTATCATTGTAGGAGGCTTCTTCCAGGTCTCCGCATGGGGAGCTGGAGCTGTTGTGAACCGCTCTGAGTCGCCCTGAGGGCTGAGAAGAGCGGTATAAAAATGTAGTAAATAAATAAATAAATGTTAAGTCCACAGGAAACCTGGAGACATATATACACACATTGTAGATCACAGTCTTTCTGATAGTTAGGTATGTCAGCCACTGGAGGAAAAGCAAAATAATTTATAAATGGTAAACTATAGACCTTATACTGACGTTGTAATGTATTCACTGTGGAAATGTACCACTGGACAGTTCCATTCTATAATATTATAGGATTTGTAGTGGAGCCCCTGGTGTGCAATGGGTTAAACCCATGTGCCGGCAGGACTGCTGACTGAAAGGTTGGCAGTTCGAATCTGGAGAGCAGTGTGAGCTCCCACCTGTCAGCTCCAGCTTCTCATGTGGGGACCGGAGAGAAGCCTCCCACAGAATGGTAAAACACCCAGGCATCCCCTGGGCAACATCCTTGCAGACAGCCAATTCTCTCACACCAGAAGTGACTTGCAGTTTCTCAAGTCGCTCCTGGCACACACAAAAATAGTATTTGTAGTTTGGCTGAGGATTCGAACATGCCGCTTCCTAAACTGACAATCCCAGGATCACACAGAATGGAAAACATTGCATTTCACGTGGGCTAAAAGAACAATAATTATGTAACACGAATAGGTCCCCGAGCCAAAGCAGTGACAAAGCTTACGAGAAGCGAGAAATCAACTGCCAGTCAGGATTAGTTCCCTTGTGTTCCACTTTCTGAATGCATGTGTCTGCTTTATGCAACATCACCTAAATGCCGTTCCATGATAAATGTGCATATTATCATGGGATTGGCTGTAGGATGTCACACTACCTTTGCTCCAAAGATGGCTTTATAATGTACTTAAGGATTTGTTTCAAAGCTCAAGTCTTGTCAAGAGAATCTTGAAACTTGATGGCCATCTCTCAGGAGGGCTTGAGTTGTGAACCGCTTTCGCAGTCCCAAGCGCATGATTCCAATATCCTTTTTCTGATCCATATCTTTCCAGAATTTGTTTAAAAATGAGAACCACACAACTCTTGTGACATGGATACCAGAACTATCAATTGAATGGAAACGTGATTCAGAGGAGTGTTTTAACCTGCTGTGCAAGCACGGGCACACTTGGGCCCTTCAGGCATTTTGGACTTCAATTCCCACCATTCCTAACAGCCTTGGGCCCCTTCCTTTTCCCCCTCAGCCACTTAAAAGGAAGGGGCCTGAGGCTTTTAGGAATGGTGGGAGTTGATGTCCAAAACACAAGGAGGGACCAAGTTGGCCCATGCCTGGTGTAGAATGCAGATGTAATTTATTTTTAATTTAAATATTAATTTTAAGTATTAATGTCTGTTCTGTCGCCACTGGGTCCGAACAAAATGTCTTTATTCTATAGAACGCACACTTTAAACCCAGTGGGAAGCCGGGGTGCCCGAAGAGAGATTGTTAGAGACTTCCAGAAGTAATGGGCTTTAGAGTCTTTAAAAGTACAACAAAGTCTTTATTAAGGAACAAATCTTCAAACAAAACTTCACGGCTTTACTATTCAAGTCTTTAAGAGACTGGCACTAACTTGGTTTGACTGTACTATCTCATAAGGAAGAACTCTTTATAATCCCTCCCAGGCCGTCCATCACCTAGGCCTCGCTGGTCTGGGTAATACTGCCGATCCCCAAATGCGTCTGGAAACCGAGTAACCTACCAGACGAAGCTAGAAGATGTTTAGCTGGAATTCTGTGGTTCTGCAGTGATGTCCTGTGGGAACTTCAGGGCTGTTTTGCTCCTCTGGTGCTGTGAGGCTGAGAGGCTGTGAGCTCTCAGCCAGAGCCTTTGGGACCTTTTCCTTCTGTTTCCCTGGAACTGGATGGTCACTGGATGACCCCGGATCACCTTTGAATGATCCCCGGATGGCTATTTCTATTTCCCCGGAAGGTTTGAGGAATGAAGCCTTTCCTACGGGACTAGCTGATCTGCGTCCTATAGACTGGCTTCCTTGTGTGACTGACTGAAAAATGGCCCCTTCCCTCCAAAAACTCAAAAAGGGGCAGGACCAGAGAACCTAACTATAACTGGCAGGTGGCTTACCCTATGATTACAGCCTATAACAGGAAGCCACCCTGCTGCAAAATCCCAAGCCTGGGATTGCAAACAAACATTTAACTGCAAAGCAAACAAAATAGGAGCTCCTGGTACAGCTGTACCAGCACGATGTCGATACATTTACATATATATATCTCAATACATCTTAATTGTGTATTCAGATACGGTGTGGCACAGGTTAAACCACTGAGTTGCTGAACTTCCTGACCAAAAGGTCAGCGGTTCAAATCCGGGGAGCAGGAGCCCCTGCTGTGAGCCTCAGCTTTTGCCAACCTAGCAGTTTGAAAATATGCAAATGTGAGTAGATCAATAGGTACTGCTCCGGTGGGAAGGTAACAGCGCTCCATGCAGTCATGCCAGCCAAATGACCTTGGACGCGTCTATGGACAACACCAGTGAGCAGGCCAAAGCTGTCATCCTGAGGAGTATGGGGCAAGCCTCTGTGTGAGACAAGCCTTGTGTGAGAAAGCTCCAGTGTGTAAAGCTACTATGTATTTGTGTTATGGAAACCTTATTTTTGTAAATAGTGCAACCATATCATTTTACTACAAAGAAAAGCTTCCTAAGTAAGAGATAACATTGGTCTGTGTGTTTTTGTCCTTTCTGTCACTTTGGAGCCCCTGCTGGCACAGTGGGTTAAAGCGCTGAGCTGCT